GCCCAGCTGCCCCCGTTGTGATCCGACAGTCCCATGGCGAAATTCGCTGTAAGCCGGTCGTTGCCGATTCCCTCCTCGCCACGACGGGGGGGGGGTTCCGGGTTTAGGGCTCGGGTTAAGGGTTTAGGGTGTAAGGTTCAGGGTTAGGAAATATGTCGGTGCCTCAATAAGGAAACTAAGATTTAAGAAAAAAAATCTGTCCGCTTTTCGACTCAATCTCTCTGGGGGCTTATGAATGGGGCCTTAAGAGCACCGACAAGTTGAATAGGGGCTACGGCTATGCGGCTATAGGATAGTGGAATTACGTTGGGGACTTTGTAGATCAAGAAACACTTGTGCTACTTATTAGCTATTCGCAACTTGATAAACGCCCAAGAAAACATGTCCAACAAGTCTCCCTTAAACTGAAGAAAAAAGGGGGTCAGAGGTCAGGATTTATAGCCCCAAAGCCAGCCTTAATCCCAAACGTGAATTCCGCTAAGCTCCTTGCTCTTGGAATCCTACTAGACCCCTACCCATACGCGGATTCAATAAACTAGCATAGATTTTTGGTGGTATATTAGTATCATGATGCTAAGGAACTCTAAGGATTCCGAGTTATTGTTATTTTAAGTAAAAGGCCCGCCTTATCAAGCTTAATTACAAGCTCTGAGGCCCTCAGCCCCCACTTGCAGCCCTGTCACGGCGATCGTGTCAGTCCGATGACGGCGGATGGAACGCTCCTCTGGGTTCTTCTTATAAGGAATGAAGATCTATGTGGGTTCCTTGAAGGGATCTATGAGGGCTCTTTAAGGGATCAGGATTTAGGGTTTAAGTTATCATATTAGGGATCTATAGCAAATAATATGGTTTCCTGATTATGGCAACTTAGACTAAACCCTTAACAAGAACCCAGTCCTGCTGCTCGGTAGCGTAGAGGACGCCCTTTGCCTTGGCTTTCGGGGCTTTAGCGGTAGACTGCTGTGTAGGCTTTAGGGTTGTTTCACAGTTGGCTCTCCTAACAACAGTTTTAGATCCTAACCCCCTTAACCCCTAAGCCCCTAAACCCTAAAACTGTCAGCGTCTTGCCGTAAACTTCCGAAGCCCAAACCTCACACAGGGGCCTACCCCGTAACAGTCTGCCTTCTGTGTAATGTGTATATATATATACATATGTATTGATTTTTTATTTATATTACGAATATTAACCTTGGGGCCTTGATGAATCATCAGGACAAGTTCTCCGGGCATATTATAGGGTAAGTGTAGTTATGATAGGGAAACCTCAGGAACATTATTACAAACTGCATTAGGCTTCCATCTTTTTCTGCATTAGTAAAGAAACTTCGCGAGAAGCTCCTTTGGGTGTACTTGAAGGATCACGGGACGTAGCAAGTACAGTTACAAGCACCCTAACTAGGATTATAAGCACATAAATATTTAAGTGTAGCTATCTTAATGATAACCCTAGTGACTAAGTCCCATGAACCTCTAAGTAAACCCCAAAACCCTAAACCCTAAACTCCTAAACCCCAAACCCCTAAACCCTATAGAACCCTTTAAAGGAACCCCATAAACCCAGTGCTGAGGGCCGCTATTGTTTGGAGACTCGAATTGAGGCTCTACGGCCTAAGGGTGTATGTAGGATACGGTTTCAGGATTCGGGGTTCAGGCCACGTGCCCGAACTCTTCAAGCCTGAAAGCCCTCAGCCCTAATATTTCTCAACCTGTATGCGCTAAACCCGTTCAAAACCAGTGCAAAAGGAAATCAGCTACGAAGGCACCTTCACGTCATTAAAGCTCTGCCAAGCCGTGACCACAACAACATGTACTTTAAACCCTAAACCCCTTCAAACCTGAGATTGCAGCCTCAGACCGAACCAAGCAAAGACCTAAACCCTCAACCCATGAGGATTCTATACTCTGAAGGTGCCGGGGAGCTTGGGCTGTAGGCTGTAGGGCTCATGTAAAGAAGCCTAGGGTTCTAGGGTCCTGGCAAACAAGGGCACTACAGTGGATGAGAGAAATCCTGCATTACCCATAGTAAGGAATATACTATAATTCCCATAGTCTAGGGTCCTTACTTGACGCAGGGGAACCCTCTCCCAAAATGGAAGCATGTGACAGGGTACTGCTGAGGGACGCAGTATAAGCGCCCCATGAACCTGTCCAACATCGTCGAGACCCCTTATAAAAAACCTGATTTCATAACGGCTCTAATGGGTCGGAACCCTAATTAATGCTAGTCATTCTGATCTCAGTATGGCACCCAAAACCCCTTATCCGTAAACCCTGAAACCCTAAACCCTAAACTCCCAAACCCTAAAAACCACAAACCCTTAAACCCTCAAACCCTTAAACCCTTAAACCCTAAACCCTAAACCCGGGAACCCTTAAACCCTTGAGCCCTAAACCCGAAACCGGTCGGGAGCCCAACAGAGACGCTAGCTTTGACTACCACTCACATATCCCTACTTGTCGGGTACCATGGGAAACTAAAGGTTAACCTTTTTGGTTATATAGGGATAATATAGGGAATATACCACCCAAAAAAGGGTTAAAGGTTACCTACTCTGCTACTAGGTATCAAGTGGCGACCTTGTAGTAAAGAGAAGAGCCAGTGACATCCGCCAAACCTTGGCTGCTGGGTTTAGGGGTTTTAGGCCCAGGAGGCATTTATCCGGCTTCCTTTAAGGGCTCTAGGGGTTTAGGGTTTTAGGGTCTCAGGATTTAGGGTTGAGGGTTAGGGGTTTTGGGAAAAGGTTCTAGGATTGCGGGTTTTAGGCTTTGTGAAGGAGCTTCCAAGGGGGCTTCGGGCTTGCGGATAACGGTCTTAGTAGGTTGGTGCAGTTTTGCAGCGCAACGCTTTGAGGTTTAATGGTGCAGAGTACACAAGACTTCATGAGGTTGTAGCGCTTGCGGTTCAAAAGGAGCATTGGGGGTTTATAGTATCCAGCAAGGGTTCAGTGTCAACATGAGACCCTAGGCCGTAAACCCCAAACCGTGTAAACCCTTCTACTTGCATTGACGGGCTGTAAGACTGTAACCATCGTTGACCTAATTTTTCGGTATATAAGCCCCTAAAACCCTGAACCCGAAGCCATCAAAAACTTACTTAGCCAAACCAACAGTCGTCGATTTCAGACAACTTGAACTTATCAGCTGTTCTTCCGAAGACTGCGAACAATGAATTAGTAGAACCTAAGGTCCAAAACTACAACCCTGAACCCCAGTGCCTAAGCCTGTTGTCATAAATCCTGAACCCTATACTGAACGCTCGCCCAGAGGCAGACTTTGATGTCCGCATTCTTCTCCTTCAAAAATCGGCCCACGCCGGAGAGGGTGCCGCCGGTGCCCGCGCTCATGACAAAGGCGTCCAGAGACCCATGGCACTGTTCCCACAGCTCCTCTAGGGCGCCGGCTTTGACAACAATAATAAATAACAATGACCTGGGGGTCCAAAAACCTACCGTTTTAAGGGTTCTACCCTCTAACTAAGGGGTCATAACCTACTATTTTGTAGGATTTGGAGTCACAGGAAGAATGATCTGTATAACAGAAATACTACTAATACTAATAACAATATTAAAAATATGGAAGGCAAATAATCAAGCCAGAGTTCTGCTTTCAGTAGGGTTTCTGGGACCTACCTGGGCCCAAATAACCTGCCTTTTCCAGGTGCCTTATTGTGAGCCTTTTACATACGCCAGGTGAAAGGTAGGTTATTTGGGGCTAAGGCAAGCCCTAAACCCTAAATTCTAAACCCTAGACCCTAGGGGTTTTGTAGAAACCCTACACCCTAAACTCTAAACCCTAAACCCTAGGGGTTTTGTAGAAACCCTAAACCCTAAACTCTAAACCCCTGAACCCTAAACGCTAGGCGTCTTGTAGAAACCCTACACCCCTAACCCCGAAACCCCTAAACCTTAGGAGACGGGAGGGCTGCTTAGGAGCATGAGGATCTTATAAGGGTGCAACATACTAGGATACCCAGTAACCTAAGAATAAAAAAAGCCTCTCTTTTTGGTATTGGGTAACTTTATAAGGAACCTAGGACTACAAAAAAGGAATAAGGGTACTACTGGAGATCCTAGCATAGGGTCCTGAATGATTAGACTCGGGGTCTGGGGTAAAAGGGTTGCTTCAGGGGTTCCTTAATTGGGGTTCCTTAAAGGGTTCGAAAAGGGATCTATGCTGGTTTAGGGCTTAGGGTCTATAGGGGTATAGCACAGAGTGTGACTGTGGAGATATCACTTTGGTTTTCAAAGCCCTATGGCCTATAGTGCCCTTCGGAGGTTTAGTGGCGACGAAGGATGAAACCTCGGTTTAGGTCCGGGGTACAAAAAGCTGGACATCGTGCAGCCCAGAAGCCCCGAATCCCGAAACAACTATTGACAACGACAAGGCAGCCCCCCTTATCCGCAATGCTGAGCTGGACTGCTGAAAATTTAAGCCACAGATTCTAGACCCTTAGCTCCAACCTGTGGCCCCAAACCCTACAAAATAGTAGGTTATGACCCGTTAACTAGGGGGTAGAACCCTTAAAACGGTAGGTTTTCGGATCCCAAGGAAAAGCGCTTAAAGCCCGAAGTCCGCAAAAGCCATAACAACAAACCCTCAAAGCGAAAGGTGCCAAATCCCCAATGGCTCCGGGGCAGTGCCGTGATAGTGCGCCCGGTAGTTAGCCTGTGAAAGGGTCTGGGGCTTGGGGTTAGGGTGGTAGCAGTAGTTGTAGTAGTAGTAGTAGTAGTAGTAGTAGTAGTAGTAGCAGTGGAAGTGGTAGGGGTAGTGGTAGTACTATTCGGTTTCAATAAGGGCGCCTCAAAAAAAACAAAGCAAAAGGGCACTACAGGAACCTAGTCCCCCACATGCTTCCGAGGAAAAACTCACCCTCTAAACCCCGAACTGCGATGCCCATCACCACGAAACAAAAAGACCAGAACCGAAGCCTTATAACATGTTGAAAACATTTGTGGACCCGCACAAAAGCCCCACCAACAACCAAAAAGGAAATCTTGATGTTAAACAATAGACATAGCCGCCGGGTTCTCGAACTGGTCGGCGAAGAGGGCCGCACCCTCCCCCTCCTCTAGCACCAGCCGCTCCGCGTGGCGGCGCGCCACGTTCCTTCAGGATCATGTCAGTTGTACAATGTTGTATAATATTGATTCACGCTGCGGCGATGTTGTAAGATTTGTACTGTAGTTCTAAATGATTCTACTATAATAATGACACTGCAATTTGGCCATGCGTCTGCTACAGTATTGCCATACAGGTTTGAGTTTGGTTTGGGTTCAGGAATGGGTTGGTCTCCATGGTGCTGGCCTGACGGCTTAGAGTTCAGGTTTCTACACTGGGTTCAAATTTTCTGGATTTTGCAGAGATGGGGTCAGGCTTTTGAGGCTGGAATCCTGTTGATGAGATGAGAGAAACCCTTGCTGCAGATGTAAGATTCGGCATCTATTTCCACTGCTCTCGACATCTGGGTTTAGTGGAAGCTACCCGAGGTCTTGAACATGAAGGGAAGCGAGCGTGTGCGTGGAGTTTAGGATTTAGAGCCTAGCATTTGGGATGTTCAGAAATGCTGTTTTGGAGAATCACCAAACGCATGGGGCCGTAGGAAGATTTGGGGTAGCTCATAGTTAAGCTATACAGGGACGATACAGGGGATCCCATGAATCATTCTTTCGACTCCTACACCGGAGTTCAACCCTGAACCCTAAACCCCTAGACCCTAAACCCCTAAACCCATGGACCCTAAACCCTAAACCCTAAACCACTAAACCCTAAACCCTAAACCCTAAACCCCTAGACCCCTAAACCCTAAACAGAGGTCGGGGATTGGGAAGACCTTATCTCAGACACGGAGCCGACTTCCACTCTGCCCATGTCCCCAGCTCCGAAGCCCCATTACAATTTAGAGGTCTGATCTTTTTAGTTTAGCATAAACGTTTTTATAAAAACCTCTATGTCTGATCTTCTTAGTTTAGGGTTTACGGTTATACATGTGATTTTTCAGCTACTCTAACCCACCCAGACACGAGAATTCTATCTCATCAGGCCCCCTATGTGATCCATCATCCGAACCCGCTGTTAGAAAGCTGGGTACTCCGAGCCCCGGATACGGGGTTTGGGTTTGAGGCCGTACCTGGACCCTATGAAACCTTCCTCTTGAATGTTCCTTAGTGCGCCTTCCTTCCATAAGAAGTTAGGATATTTGGGACCCGGGTAAGTAGTGATACGTGGAGTTCCGCTGCTTATTCTCACCCCAGTTACCCTGAGACTCCAATATCCCTTAATTAAGGAATATACCTTAAATAATAGTAGGATCCCTAATATGAGTTAAAGTATATTCCTTAAGTAAGGGATATTGGAGTCTCTGGGTACTAAGCCGCGTGATCCTTGGAGTAGGCTGAAAACAACCGCAGGCCTGCCTCTCTAGGGTTCAGGGTTTAGGGTTTAGGGTGTTGGGTTTAGGGTTTAGGGGCCTCCCTGGGGATCCCAAAACCTACTGTTTCAGGGGCTATGGCCTATAATTAAGGGGTTATAACCCACTATTTTGTAGGGTTTGGAGCTACAGGTCAACTCTCAACTCGAATGTAGTTGAACGTTCAGGAATTATGTGTACCGTAGCTTTCGGCTTATTAGCCGCTGGTATGTATAACCCTTTACCGATCTAAAACCCTTACAAGAACCCCCACCAAACACAATTGAAAGCCCCCTAAACCTTAAACCCTAAAAAAACCTTGACCAAACCATGGAAAAACCTTGACTAAACCCAATACTATAGGGGCCTTAATAATTAGAATAGGGTGTTGGGGCCCATTATACTATAATTATAACAAGGAACCTCCAAAATAGTATAGGTATTTATTGAGGCCCCTGTACTATATGATCCTTTCAGCAGTCAAGGCTCACGTAATGCTCTGGGCTGGATATGCTCGCCGGCCGGACCAACTGCACCTCAAATGGAGAGTGGGGGAGTGTTGTGCTATAGGCTTCACAGGGTTTTACGGGATTAGCTTTTAGAAAGCATCATGGTTGAGACGCATGGTCGACACATTCTAGACTTTTTGCTTAGCATTTAGGTTGGGCTCAGGGCTTGCGGCTCAGTGTGTATCCCCATTGCCCCCCCACAGCGTGAGAACGAGAGACAGACAGAGACACCCGAGCGAGCGAGAGAGCTACTTAAAGGATCATGGGACTTGGTGACTAGGGACCCCAGTTGAGGTACGCATAACCTTACCTACCAAGTCCCATGATCCTCCAATTAGAGGGAAGAGAAAGACACCGATGACGCGTTGAGTGGCTGAGTGGCACAATTGAAAAGGAGGAGTAAGCCATCGTGAAAATCTGATACCCGCCACCCTAAAGTCTAAACCCTAAACCGCCCTAAACCGCCCCAAACCCCAAATCACTTGAAGCGTCATGGGGCTTGCGTAATTACGCAAGGTTATATGTACCGTAATTGGGGGGGTAGAAACCTCACTTTAACTTACTTCATTACGTATAACCCTAAACCCTAGAAACAAACCGTACTTAAAGGATATGGGACTTGGCAAGTATGGTTAACAGTACTTAGCTGGGATTAGAACTGATTATAAGTATATCTCATGAACCTGTAAGTAAAACCCAAACCACGAAGCCATTATATAAATATAAAACTTAAAACCTGCACCCCAAAAATCCCAAACCGTAAATGCTATAAGCTCTGAAAACCCTTTAGGCTGAAAATAGCCCAAAAACCTTACATAGTCTGGCCTTTGGGCCCAAAGGCCAACATGGGTCCTTAGAGCCTAAGGGTAAGAGTCTAACCTCCTAAACCCTATTCTAATTATCAAGGCCCCTACATTTAAGCTCCCACAACCTAAACGCCTAAACTCCTAAACCCCCAAAACCCGAAACCCTACACGGCACAAGTTCCCGAACCCCAAGCGCCTAAACTCCTAAACCCCCAAAACCCTAAGCACTAAACCTATAATACCCTTAAAAGGAACGCTACTACTACCCTTCAAGGAACCCTACTACCCTTAAAGGAACCCTAAGCCGCCCTAAACCCCCTTAACCCTAAACCCCAAACCCTCGACCCTAAACCCTGCCTGTATCCCCAAACCCTACAAAATAGTAGGTTATGACCCCTTAATTAGAGGGTAGAACCCTTAAAACGGTAGGTTTTCGGATCCCAAGGTAAACCCTAAGGCGCTCTAAACCCCAAGCCGCGGGCACCGTGGCCCCAAATCGGCGAAGAAGCTCGGCCTTCTCAGAGGCCTCACTCAAAGGGGAAAAGGAGGGACCCTTAATCGGTTTAGGGTTTAGGGGTTAGAGTTGAGGGTTTAGGGGTTTAGGGTTAGGGTTTAAGGGTTTAGGGGTTTAGAGGTTTAGGGTTTAGGGGTTAGAGTTGAGGGTTCGGGGTTTAGGGTTCTTCGAGGAAGGGCTCTTTCTTAATGAGGGCTTCATACAGGCACTGTTCACGGCCGAACCCTAAGGGTCCATGTACGCAAATAGCATATACTTCGGCACCAACGTACCTCTAAACTTTAAGACCGCCAAAGTATATACTATTTGAGTACATGGACCCTTGGGGGAAGGCTAAGGGTTCAATTGTGGTTTAGGGATTAAGGTTGGGGTTTAGGGTTCAGCTTGAGGATCTAGGGTTTAGGGTTTTGCGTACGGCCTTTTACGGATTAGAAGGCTCTTAGTTGCAAGGTCTGTATTCTTTTTTTGAACCACATTTTACTTACGGCTAGGAGCATGACATGGCCGAAGCCCTAAACCTCGTAACCCTCCCTGAACCTTAAACCCCTAAACCCTAAACCCTGAAGCCTAAACCCAAAGCCCCAAACTTCGAAAGCACGACATTCGACATCCCCCATAGTTGCCGTGCTAGTATCCTTTGTAAGAGCCTGTTTAAGGAACCTCTAGACTCTAGACCTAAGAGTAACCCAGGAATAGATGGGCACCCCTTTTGGTTTAAAGGTGCTTTTCAGGGAACCTAAACCCTAACAAAAGGAAATAAGGGCCTACTCTGGGTCGTAGTTTTAAGGGAACCCTAAACTGCCCTAAACCCTAAACCCTAAACCCCTAAACCATAAACCGTTAAGGACCCCTGTATTCAAGAAAACCCCCCTCTCGATCCTGATCGTCCGGCAGGACCACATGCACCTGTCGGTATAGGTTTAGGGTTTAGGGTTTAGAAAAGTTCATAAGGGTTCCATAAGGGATCTGCAGATTTTAGGGGTTTTGGCTTGAGGCTTTGGGTTTGGACTTCAGGGCTTTAGGGGTTTCGGAAGTGGGATTTGGGGTTTATGCGTTTGAGGGTTTGGGGTTTAAAGTTTAGGGGTTTAGGGTTTCGGGGTTTAGGGTTTAGGCGTTTGGGGATTTGGAGTCAGGGATTCGGGACGGATTAAAGCCCGTCCCGCATATATGGGACCCTATGACCCCTACATAGACACGATAACTCAATGACAAGCTGAAACACACTTTATTCAAAACACCACAAACCCCAAATACACTGCGCCAGCAACAGTTCATAAACATGTGGCAACCCTATATATATATATATATATATATATTACTGTAGACTCAATGAACCCTACGATCCCAACTAGTTAGCATTGTATACAGTCGAAAATGTAGCCTATTGCAACAACGCTGTATAAGTGTATAAGCCTTAAGAACCTTTCAACTAATTAGCTACATGTCTATGCTCATTTTGATCCTAAGTACCCGTTCAGTTTGTATTGTAGCCAAACTCAACAAAGGAATTCGCAAAGCCAAAGAGATGTATGCCCTAAACCCTAATCCCTGAACCCACTGTATGCACCTTGTAGCCACGCTCGGCGGCAGCAAGGCAAAGAGAGATGCCGGTACTTCCAGAGGTCCCCTCCACCTCGGTGTCATGAGCGCGAGACCCGTACACCCTCGTCCTTTTAGAAATAATAGACAGAGCCCTATACCTGTATATCCCTTAGTAGGAATTATTTAAGAAGCTTTTAGCCAGTCAGTTTCTTCTTTTGGGGGAACCATACCCCCAAACCCCCACCCCTTAAAGGAAGCCCTATAGATCCTTTTAAAAGAACCCTAAGATCCGTTTTAAAGGAAAGAGGGCGGTCCTTCTGTTTATTCTTTTGGGGGAACCATGAAAAAGGACAAGGCTGGACCCGTAAACCTGAACCCATCAGTCGCCAGACCCCGTTATAAGGGTTCCTTTTAAAGGAATCTATAAGGGTTCCTTTTAATGGGATCTATAAGGGTTCCTTTTAATGGGATCTACAATAAGGGTTCCTTTTAATGGGATCTATAAGGGTTCCTTTTTTAAAGGGATCTATAAGGGTTCCTTAAAGGCGGCCTATAGGGGATCTGTAATACTATACTGAACTTTAGAACCCAAAGGCTCTCCGATTGATTTTTTTCGAGCGAGGATGGTGTTTTCAAGCGCCGATCGAAAAACAAAAAAATTCAAGCGTTCGATTGATAAAATCAATCGAGGATCCACATAGTACACGAAGTATAAATTCAATCGAGGAATCGAGCGGGGACCTTCATAAATTCAATCGAGGAATCGAGCGAAGAATCGAGCGTAGGATGTTAAAAATCAATCGTAGACATCGCAAAATTTCGTATTGTCCTGTCTAACAAAACTGATATATATATATATATATATATATATATATTATGTATGTATGTGTATATACATATGCCTATATATATATATATATGTATACATATACATATACATATACATATATATATATACATATATACATATATATATATATATACACATACATACATACATACATACATACATACATACATACATACATACATACATACATACACATATATGTATATATAGCATATCGAGGCAACTGTGGATTTTATATCTAGATAGATAGATAAATAGATAAAGACATATAAAGATATATAGAGATATGTGAAGATATGTAAAGAAACATAGATCGATATAGATAGACAGATAGATGGATGCATAGATAGATAGATGTAGATTGTTTCAGTGCAGGTTTTGATTTTTGTGGTTCCGGGTTTGATGTTTATAGGGTTTAAGTTGGGGTTCAGGTTATCGGGTTATGCGGTTTCTATATATATAGGTTTATGGCCTATAGGGGTTTTGGGGTTTAGGGGTTTCGGCGCATAGGGTTTGGGCCTATATATTCACATACATACATATACATACATACATACATACATACATACATACATACATACATACATGTATATCATATATACATAGGGGTTAGGGCCTATAGGGGTATGGGGTTTAGGGGGCTTGGGGTTTAGGCCGGGGTTTGTGGTTCAGGGTCCGGGGTTTGGGGTTTATGGTTTAGGGCTTATAGGTTATTATATGTAGGGTTTCAAGAGTCTGGACAGATTCTTGATGCCTGGTCTGGATAGACCTTCTTTCTTAGTATAGGGTTAACGAGTCTGGACAGATTCTTGGTGCCTGGTCTGGACAGACCTTTTTCTCTAAACCGTAAACCCAAAACCCTGATCCCTAAGCCCTAAACCTTAAACCATAAACTCTAAACCATAAACCCTAAACCGTGAGTCTGGACAGATTATTAATGCTTGGTCTGGACAGACCTTTGTTCCTTAAACCCCAAACCCTGATCCCTAAGCCCTAAACCTTAAACCATAAACTCTAAACCATAAACCGTAAACCGTGAGTGTGGGCAGATTCTTAATGGTCTGGACAGACCTAAACCTTAAACCATAAACCCTAAACAATAAGCCCTAAAACCTTAAACCGTGAGTCTGGGCAGATTCTGGATGCCTGGCCTGGTCTGGATAGACCTTCTAGGGTTTATACGGCTCAAGATTTCTGGATCCTGGATGGTCTGGCCAGACCTTTTTATTTACCAGGTTGTTTTGTGTGCTACTTTTTCCTGTCTGTCCAGACATTGATGGTCTTGGCAAACCTTTTTTATTTACTAGGTTGCTTTGTGTGCTACTTTTCCTGTCTGTCCAGACATTGATTCAGCCATGAAATTATATGCTAAACACAAGATGCACCATGCACGACATGTCTGTCCAGACATTGATTCAGCCCTGTCGACTTCATCCTAAAACACAACATGCACCATGCATGACTTGTCTGTCCAGACATTGATTCAATCTTATTGAGCACGTTTTTTTTCTCCTCACTCCTCATCTTCATCCAGATTCAGCCATCCTCGCAGCAGGAGCTCGTAAGCTAAGGCGAATTTTCCACAAATCTTCAGTGGAATCTGGTAGCTCGGCGTTCCTCTATCACATGAAGCAGCGATTTTCTTGCACACCGACATGAAACTCTCAGGGCCATAGGTCCAAGCAAGTCTGGGTGCCATCCATTTACACTGAACATGAAAATGTGCCATCAAGTGGAACTTCTGGGTGACACTGTACCTCTTCTTTCCCCTGTTGAAAGCATCTCTGCTCAAGAAAGTGTAGTGCAGGAGCAATCTGTCAATCGCCTTCTCCATGCTTCTGTGCCTGGTATCCAATATAACAACAACAAAAGTCTGCCGTTTATGTTAACCTTTATGCGGTTTATTTCAAGGTTCAGGACTTGGTATATGGGAAAACCACAAAGCTCAAAGTTCAATTCATTTCACATGCATGCAAGCTACTCCTTTCTGTCAAAGCGATACTTCTGGCAGTCACACAGCTCGTAAATCTCGTCCATGGCCTTCACTGCTTCAAGACGATGCTTTCCTGCCACTGTATCCTTGTACAAGTCTGCCAACCCCACAGCCACACTCGAGAACTCTCGTATTCGTCGCCCTTTCACATGGCTCAAGCACGGGTACCCAGTCTGACTTTGAATGTTCCCTTTGCTCAACTTCGGGATTCTGGCAGCAGCTGGGGTCGACTGACTCTCGTACAGCTCCTGGATTCTTGAGTTCAAAGCTCCAATGGATGCAGCGAAGCTCCCAGGTAGGTGGTCCTCCAAGATGTCGTTGATCAAGTTTCCATACAAATGCGAACTGACTCCAAGGTCTAGCATGTGCAACACATCAAGTTTCGGGGACCAAAAATTGATCCCTGGAACTTTAAACAAAGGGTGATCATTTTCTCTTGGATCTCTGGGTTGCTTTCTCCACTCAGCACTTGCTCTGAAGTCATTGAACGGGGCGACAGCATCTGCATCTTTGAAAAGGTTGTCACACTTGCAGTAAGGACACAAATTATTGCTGTTCGCAGTAGGCCATCCGAATTCCTGCGAGAAGAACTCCAAGTCTCCTACCAAAGCCATGACCACAGCTTTGTGTCGCGAGGCCAACAGTGTCAAACTTTCACAGATTTTGTCCCACAAAGCTGGCCACGATCCAGCATTTGCTGATTTCGGCAAACAGCCGATCAGCAATTCCGAGGTCTTAATCGACCTCTTGGTTATCATGCATCGCATGCTTATAATCAAGAGCGAATCTGTCTCGCTGAAAGAGGCGTGATCGCCGTGGAGGATCAACGGAACCGGTAGCGATTCCATCACATTCACGTCTCTCCAGAACTGTCTGCTTCTCCACAGCTGTTCATTTTCTCGAAAGTTTTGGCATTGCCAAAATTCTCGGATCTCATTCTTTGTTGCCTTATATTTCTGAAAAAGCCAATAGCAGCGAATCAAAGTTAAACTCTATCCTTAACCACTGAGAAAACCCTGCCAAAAAAAACCTGCAAAAAACACAAAACTCAAAGCTCAAAGTACTCGCCAAGTTGCAGTGAACATCTCCAGCACATCGTTCTTCTCCAGCACATCGAACCACTCGTGGGGAAGAAGCAAAGGCACCTGCTTCGACTCCACCACGGCACCACCAGATTTCTTGTCTCTCAAGGACACCGGGGTGCTGATCAAGGTACTTTCTGGCGCTCTGCACACATTCAGCATCTTCATCAAGTCTCTGTGGCAGTTCTGAGCACTAGTGCCTTGTCCTCCCAGCATCTGCAAACTCGCCAGGTCTGGGCTGGGTTCTTTGCAGCTCCGAACTGCTGCACTCGCCATTTTTTGCACTTGAGCAGCTGAAAGTCGTCCAAAAGCGAACTCTTCCAGTAACAAGAGTCTCAGAGGCGACGGGGCCGGTTCAAGAAGGTTAGCCTTCCTCTTCTTCCCCATGGCCTCTCTCACTTCTCACCTCTTTGGGTGAATCTACATCTTCGAAAACATGCTCGAGCAGCTGCATCAAATATCATCGGATTCCATTCTGCTTGTCCAGGCACTAATGCTTCGAAGTGCAGCAAATTCTGCCTGTCCAGGCATTAATGCTCGGAAGTGCCTGTCCAGGCATTAATGCCTAGTGCAATATATTCTGCCTGTTCAGGCATTAGTGCTCGGAAGTGCCTGTCCGGGCATTAATTCCTGGAAGTGCAGTATATATTCTGCCTGTCCAGGCATTAATGCTCGGAAGTGCACTTCCAGGCATTAATTCCTGGAAGTGCAGTATATATTCTGCCTGTCCAGGCATTAATGCTCGGAAGTGCCTGTCCAGGCATTAATGCCTATAGTGCAGTATATATTCTGCCTGTCCAGGCATTAATGCTCGGAAGTGACTGTCCAGGCATTAATTCCTGGAAGTGCAGTATATATTTTGCCTGTCCAGGCATTAATGCTCGGAAGTGCACTTCCAGGCATTAATTCCTGGAAGTGCAGTATATATTCTGCCTGTCCAGGCATTAATGCTCGGAAGTGCACTTCCAGGCATTAATGCCTGGAAGTGCAGTATATGTCCTGCCTGTCCAGGCATTAATGCTCGGAAGTGCCTGTCCAGGCATTAATGCTTAGGAACTGCAATATGCCGACCGACATTCTGCCTGTCCAGGCATTACATACTCAAGTGTATTTCCCTCTCCAGCATCTGCCTACCACGACGAATATCAAAAGCAATAAACATGGCAAGTGAACGTGCATGAACAAACTTGCTTCAAGCTTTTTCACGGCTCGGCCCTGATTCTGCACTCGTCTCGGTCTTCTTGGAAGCGAGACTTCACCTCCAAGTCTTAAGGCTTCGGTCTAGGACTGATCGAGTTTCAGTCTGCCTCAGCCGCTTGGTCACAAAAACCTATGTTCAAATCGATTGATCTCAAAATCGAAAGGGCTCAGCTCTCTGCATCACTGCTCTGGCGCTTGAGCTTCTTGTCCTTGGTCTGGGTCTCCTTGCAGACTGCCAAGTTCTTCTTCAGGTTCTTCGAAGCCTTCAACGACTTGAGGGCCATCAGGAGGCTCTTTTTCACAGCATCCTTACTGGCGAGGTTCTCAATGCCCGACCCCACCTGTTTCAAGGTCTTCGACAGATCCTCCAGGTTCTGCTGGACGTCCTTCTTCTCGTTCTTCCTGAGCTTCGACTCCAGGAGCAGCATCTCAAAGAAGGTCTCTTCCTTCTGCAGCTCGGACTTGAAGAGGGTCAACTTCTTGTTGAACTCACTCTTGTTGTCTGTCTCCTCAATCTGCGACAACTTCTCCCAATCCATGCTCTTCGCCTTCGACTTCGACGATGAGGAAGTCCTCTTCGTTTTCTTCTTCTTCGTGATCGTCACCTTCTTCGCGTGGCTGGACTCGCTGTCTTCCTCGTCGCTGGAGCTCTGGTCTTGGTCATCATTCATCTTCGTAATGACAGACTTCAAGTCGGGGTCGATCTTCATCTCCTTCACCTGCTCCATGTCCTGCAGCTCCTCGAAAGTGAGCTTGTCCAAGGCGAGAGCCCTGTTCTTGCCGACCTTCTTGTCGGGGCCCTGCACTGAGCAGCTCTTCTTTTTCTCAAAGCCTTCGGATTCCTTGTCGTGCACGTTGGCGAACTCCAAAAAGTTCGAGTCTGTCTTCGATCTTCTCCATTTCATGGTTCCCGCCTTCAAGCGGGCCAATGCCTCCGTCTTGCCGTAGCGATTCTGCATGGTTTTCCAGGGTTCCCAAGTCACCTGAACCTGGTGCGAGCTCATCTTCGTCAGTTGCAAGCATGCTTTCTGGTAGTACTTCCCGCACTTCCCTTCATCAAGAAGCCAGCTGGTCAACATGTCTTGCTTTCTCTTGTTTCCACCGGCACCGCTTGTCTGGTCTCGGTAGGATGCATCACATCCTTCCTTTTGCCGTCCTTTCTCAAAGAGTTTCCAGACCATCTGTTGTTCACTCGAGGGCAACATCTTAAAGGCGTTGAAGACCTCCTTGCCCGACCAGCCTTTCACCTCCAACAACTCGGAGTGCGTCTTGATGTTCGTCAAGCTCAGCGGGAACTTCTCCTTCGTCTTCTCCGGCTCGCTGACCTCAGGGTCGTTCTCTTTCTCGTGCTCCTCCTCCGGCTCTTCCTCGTCCTCCACGTGCTCTTCCTCGTGCCCTGCCTTCGACTCCTTGGTCTTGTCGTTCTTCTTCTCCTTGGGCTCCTTCTTGGACTGCTTGTCGTTCTTCTGCTCCTTGGACTGCTCCTTCTTGGGCTTCTTGTCGTTCTTCTCCTCCTTGGACGGCTCCTTCTTGGACTGCTTGTTGTTCTTCGTGGGCGGCTTCTCGTCCTTCGTGGTGTCCTCGGGCTTCGTCTTCTCCTCGTCCTTCTTGGCCGCCTTCTTCTTCTCAACAGGAAGAAGCAACGAGGGCTTCTTCAGGATCGGCTTTAGAACCTTCCCGACCGCCTTCACAGCTGCAGGCTTTTTCATGGCTCGATCTCTCAAGCTATGTTCCTAGCTGTCGATCTCTTGAGACAAAACTCTGGTATGAAAAGGACTATCCTTCCTGTCTGTTCTGTTTCCTTTTCTGTCCAGACACTATTCAATCTCTTTAAAATTTCCTTGTCTGTCCAGACACTAATCAATCTCTTTAAAATTTCCTTGTCTGTCCAGACACTAATCAATCTCTTTAAAATTTCCTTGTCTGTCCAGACACTAATCAATCTCTTTAAAATTTCCTTGTCTGTCCAGACACACTCAATCTCTATACCGTGTCTGTCCAGACATGGAATGTTATTCTATTCGATCTATAGTCTTGTTTGTCCAGGCAACATGTCTTGGCGGAGTGCATGGTTTAATGTGTTTACAGATTATATAAGTATATAGTTTTATTTGGAAGGGGGGGTCTTCGGGTTTTGGAATTAATTTAAGGTTTCAGGTCGATATATAGGCTTGGGTTTGCTCCTGTTTTGGGGCTTCGATCTCTGTGTTGACAAATTGTGGCTTAAGCATGGGTGGGGTGGGGTTGGGGCGGCGTGGGGTGGGGTAGGGTGGCAGGGTGGTGGGGGTGTGGTTGGGGGTGGGGGTAGGGTGGTGTGGTAGGGGGTGGTGGGGGGTGTGGTAGGGGTGGTTGGGTGGTTGGGGGGTGGGGTGCACATGGGCATGTGTGTGTGTGTGTATGTATTTATGCATGTGTGTGCGTGTGTGTGTGGGGGTGTGGGTGTGGTGGGTGTGTGGGTGTGTGGGTGTGTGGGTGTGTGGGTGTGTGGGTGTGTGGTGTGTGTGGGTGTGTGGGTGTGTGGGTGTGTGGGTGTGTGGGTGTGTGGGTGTGTGGGTGTGTGGGTGTGTGGGTGTGTGGGTGTGTGGGTGTGTGGGTGTGTGGGTGTGTGTGTGGGTGTGTGGGTGTGTGGGTGTGTGGGTGTGTGGGTGTGTGGGTGTGTGGGTGTGTGGGTGTGTGGGTGTGTGGGTGTGTGGGTGTGTGGGTGTGTGGGTGTGTGGGTGTGTGGGTGTGTGGGTGTGTGGGTGTGGGGGTGTGTGGGTGTGTGGGTGTGTGGGTGTGTGGGTGTGTGGGTGTGTGGGTGTGTGGGTGTGTGGGTGTGTGGGTGTGTGGGTGTGTGGGTGTGTGTGTGTGTGGGTGTGTGTGGGTGTGTGTGTGTGTGTGTGTGTGTGGGTGGGTGTGTGATAGTCACAGGACAGGACGACACATGAATTCATGTGGTGTTCCTTTGTTTTCACAGGACCACACATGAAGTCATGTGTTGTTCTGTTGTTTGGCACAGGATAACACATGAATTCATGTGGTGTTCTCTTGTTTTCACAGGACAACATATGAAGTCATGTGTTGTTCTGTTGTTTGGCACAGGACAACACATGAATTCATATGTGTGGTTGCTTTGCTTTTAATTAAGACACATGACTTCATATGTTGGCTTTGTTCCTTTTGCATTAGGACACATGAATTCATGAGTTTGTTGTTTCTTGTATGAATATTAACATATGAATTCATATGTGGTGCAGTTTTTTTCATGTGATAATCATGTGAATGCAAGGTTTCTTCACATGATTGACATATGAATGAAATTTCTTCACATGATGTTCATATGAATAAAATCG